CGCGGAGCTACAGCATGCAGGTTGACCAACGTGATCATCGAGAAGTGTATGGTTGGCAATATGAAATTACCAACGAGAATTTTGTTGGTAAGTGTACCAAAAGCTGCAAGCCTGGCCATCAGCAGCTAGATTCACGGGGGAGGGTTGGGCACTGTGAATTTACCAATGAAGTCTTTGTCGGTAAATTCACCAAGATGAATCCTGTTGCAAATTGAATTAGTTACAGACGTGATCTTTGTCGCTAATTTGTTTATTGGTCTGCTTGTTGCCGGAGTGTACATTGTAGTATGCCACCGACGAAGGGCACGTGTGTATCGTGCAAATTTACCAAGAAAAATTTTGTCTATACCTTAAATAATATAAATTATTCTTATTTTTACTGTTCTTTTATTTACATACGTTTATCTTGTCAGTGAGGGGATAGTTTACCAAGAAGACTTCTAACGTCGATGATTTTGGGTCGGTGATTTTGAGTTTTTTAGTAGTGATTATTCTTTGAGATGTGATAGAAAGGAAAGAGTAGTATCATTTCTTTAATAATCTACTTCATTAATTAATATCATTAATCGTGTCATCAATATTCATTTCCTCCCAAAAATAACTGTTTTTTCTTTAAATTTCTACTAAATTTATTTTAAATTAATTATCATCTTTTGAACCTGACCCTTCGGGTCAAGTGGCTCTAGCCACGTTTGTAAGGTTCATATCCCCCTCCCCCAGGGCAACGGTTCGAGCCGGCCCCATGACAAAAATGTTCAAAAAAAAAAATTAATTATCATCTTTTATTTTTTAAGGTAAAAAACTACTATTGTTTTCACTTCAATCATATCACAAAAACCTCACATCTTTTATTTAATTTTTTAGAAATAATATATGTAAATACATAAAAGTAATATACATACATATTGTTTACACTTAATTTTACAACAAATAGAGTGTTGTCATGTGTCACCCATGTTAATAGATATTTTATTGGTTGAAAGTTGGTGTGAATCTTTTCAGATAAGATTGAGTAGTTATTTCCATAACGGCAGCAAAACCGTTCCCTTGTTACGAGTTTCCAAGAGGATAATCAGCAGCATAAACAAATTAATCGATTCGTTGTAGATATCATGTTACTGTTGGTTTTTTAGGATGCTACCGCAAATCTCCACCATGCTGCCAATGTGCTATAAATACCCAATGACAAGATCAAGTAAAGGATCAACATCACACACAACAAACTCAGCACAATTTCTCTTTATGCTCAGATTCATCTTAGTTTCAAGCCCTTTAATTTAATTTCAGCTCTACGCTTTAGCCTAGATTAGTTTAGTAATTTAGCTCTTCTTTTGTTGGATTTGTAATGGTGAGTCTCATTGCCTTTAGTAGTATTTCTTTGTGATCGGATTGCTTCTTTTCCTTTTTCTATTTTCCAAGTTTCCTTTAATTAAATCAAATGATGTCGACATTTAATTTCATGTTCAATTCTATTTCTGTTAATTTATATTTCATGCTGCAAGTAGATTTTCCTTACTTACGGTTTTATTTACTTTAACTTAATTTACTTTTACTGCAATTAAATTTCCTTTTAAAGCTCTGTTTCAACCCAGTTTGCATATTTAAAATTCATTTAGATTTTTAGTAGTTTAGTAATCATTTATTTTCCTTGCAGTCTTAACTTTTCTTGATTATATTAGCTTTGAGGAGTCCTTAGAATTATATCCAAGGCATTTTGCCATATAACCCATTTAGTGTAGGAAGTTTATCCATCGTTTCTATCAATTGTCTGATCTTTAAAGCGCAGTTTACGATGTTCTTCCATCAACTCACAAACTGAGTTCCACGCTTGAAAAGAAGAAAAGGTTGTCGGAAAAATCTTTCTTGTTTTGAGCAAAACAAGTGGCACGCCATTTCGTCTGTCATGTGTCAAGGAGATTTTTTGAGATAACACACATTTATTTTTTTTTTTAAAGTAACAATTATTTGAAAAAAGAGTGAGTATCCAATTTTAAAACAGATGGTGCTATAGGAACAACTTTTTTGTTTCACTTTTTTATACAATTTTTACATGTTATTAAATAAATAAATGCATTCAATATCACGGGTCTCACATAAATTAAAAGAACTAATCATTTTAATAAAACAAACATCAGATTGTACAAAAAGATGAGTCAAAAAAGTTATACCAAAAGCATTTCTCTTTTAAAACATGCCATATAAGCACCATGGGTCCACCGCAGGAAACAAATTTTCCATCTCGGTGCCAACACAACGCCAGGTCACTTGTGGAACCCACCAAAATCACCTTTCCGTTTGAGTCAACCAGATTGCTCACCGAAGTCTTTCTTTCGATTTTTACTAGATTTCTCGTGTTTTCTTCAGAGAAATTTATGGAGAACCAATGGGAGCTTTTCCCCCATCCTTGGTTTTACCTGCAACATGCAATTTCCTCATATTCTCATGCTTCATTGGACCACGAATTTGGGAATGCTGAGTTATCATATGAAGGCCCTGAAAGGTTCAAATGCTGTGGTGGGTTTAAAGTTTAAAGCATCGAAGTGGGCATCAGGGGCTCTTAAAAAGGTTGAGGAATGAGAAAAAAGGGTTTGGCAGAATGAGAATGCAGGGCTGGAGAGGCAAATTAGACAATTGTAAAACATAAAAATTGGATTTAGTCTAGCATGCACAACAGTGACTATTGGATAAACCCCCTAATATTAGAACCTTCCTCCTATCCAGTTGTTCCTATTCTGCAGTTCGGATCACACAACAGTTTTTCAAAATAAAACATGACAATTTCACCTGTAGACATGAACCAGAAATGGAATGACAAATTCATTTGCATAAAAGGGAAAAAAAATACCGAAAATGTTAAAATTTGTCTTCAAATTCTGCATTCTGAAACAAGTACATAAAGCAACCAAATTTCTTATTTTGCTAACCTGGAAACATCTAAGAAGTGAATATAATTATCCCATCGTGCACCCAGGGGAGAATTCGATACATAAATAATAGAATCTTGATGTACCTGATCATCCTTGATTGAAAAATAACTCAACGGAGATTTATCATTGTTAAACTTGTAGTATATCCTGTTGCAAAATTCTCTTTTTACTTCTCCTAGTGCTTCAATTGAAAATGCAGAATGCCCGTCAACAAAGAATATATGATCTTCTAGGCTTCTTATTGTAATCAACTCAGAGCAATCATACTTGAATATATGACACTTCGACTCATTAAGAAAAGTTTTATATAATACGAATAGCCCTTTCTCCGATTCAAGAAGCATGAGACGAGCACCAGTACCATCTGCTGATATAACAGAACTTGTCTTCAAACTCCATTTTTGTTCACTAACATTCAAGGTTGCCAATGTATGGTTGTCCCCGCAGCTGAACATACAATACAGAGTTCCATCCAGGTAGACAATATTCTTAGAAGTTTTAATATTCTTAAGTACCCCATGACGATGAGTGCAACCAAATAAAGATATATCACAGTCGCAGCTTTTCCATTCCCTTTCACCATTGCGGTAGGTGTAGAGGTGAGCTTCTTTCACAGATCTTTGATGTAGCAGGAAGAAAATGCAATCGTGAGCGCTTGGAATGTTGGAAAAAGTGAACAATGCATAACCCATACTACTCTCAACCAAATCAGGCAGCTGAATGATATTTTCTGCAAAAGGACTGTATAGAAAGAATGACCAAGTTGCAGAGGTCATTAAACACTTCCGGAAAACAACCCAACCAAATTTTGAAGAAAATACACGTGCACCAAGCAATTTATTTCCTCCCTTGTTGATAATATCCTTCCCAATGAAGTAGGGCTTTGGATTACCTGGTTCATAAAGTTTGAACTGATTTAGTTTGTCACTTTCAACGAAATGTGGATGCATAAATAACCACGGTAGTCCATCTAGATGGAGGGGATTATTAACCCCATAAACGGGAATTCTCCAGCCCTTGCAGGTTGCAGTCATACAAAGTCTTTCTGAAAATTTCAATGTCCTCATAATCTTCCCAAGAATATCTTCAGGAAGGTTCGCCCAATTTTGGGTTCCTTGATAATTCTCTTGGTAATGGCTTTTGTTCTTTAAAGCCATGGCTGCCAGCCTTTCAAGATGATCTTCCCCTTCAACACTTTTTTCCTCCTGATCCATTAGCTGCTTTTCATTTCCAAAAACTCATGTTAATGACAAGTTCAATCTCATACAAAATTTCACCTATTAATCCATCAACAAATCAATTCAAAACCCAAAATTATAAAGTTCTTAGTTCATGCACTCAATGAAAAATCATATGCCTTACTTATAGACCCACTTATTGCACAATCATCAAAGAGAAAGCATCACTTACTTACCTGCAACAGAAATCAAAGAAAAACCAGCAATTTCTATCTATAACAAAAAGTCATAATTCTATCAACAACTCTTGATTCCATCTGCAATTTTAGAAGTTGGTAAATTTAATGAAAAATCTAAAATTTATTTATATTTATTTGACATAAAATTCTGCAACAGTTCTACTCAAACAGCATTAATTCCAAAGTCAAACAAAAGCTGCAGTGAAATGAAACAAAGCAGTAATAAAACTTTCAATGGAAATCAAATACTAAATATATATAATTTCAGCGGCTGAAAATCTGGAAAAAAAAAGGGGGGGTGGATTTCTTGCCTTACCAGAGTGGAGGAATCACGTAGAACGAGCAACAGAGCAAGAATAACACGGCTAAACGTTTGAGGAAGAACGCCGCGACGCTTCGACGGGGAATGAGTGAAAAGGAAACGAAGATCGCCGACACAACCGTTGAGGAGGAAGACAAGGTTGCAAGAGATCAGATCAGTGTAAACAAGTCCACTTGGGAAAAGTTAAAAGTGCAGTATGAGGGCGTTTGGGAAAGCGAAAAATGCTTTGGTTTTTTAAAATACTACTATTTATCTCCCTCACCTTAAAATTTTGTTAAATTTTATTAGAGGGAAAATTAAAAATGAGATTTATGTAATATAATTTGAATTAAAAATATTTTAATAAATTTACAAGGTAAATTATATATAATTTACTTTTAAAATATTTTTTATTTAAAAATTATATTTTAAAATGAATTTTAGCTTTTAAACAAATTTTGAAAGAAATTTAGATATGTAATTTAAAATTTGTTAAAAATCAACTTAAAATGTTAATTTTAAGTAATTTTCTTTAACAGAATTTTAAATATGTAAGAGAAAATAAACTTGTTACCAAAAAAAAAAAAAAACAAGTACTTTTTATGATTTTACCAAAACACCCTCCCGTATCGTTTCTTGAACTTATCTGGGCAAAAACTTACCTTTAGCCCCTCACCTTACTAAATTTAAAGGTTTTAGCCCTTTATCTTATTCTATAACACTTTTAAACCTTCATCTTATTAGATTTATAAATTTTAACCCCTCACCTATTAAAATCAAAGAAAATAACCCTCATGTTATACTAATTGTTAATTATATTAGTTGAAAGTAAATTTTTATCTACTAACAGTCAACTAATAGTCAGTTAACAAAATGAACGAAATATTATAAAATTAGTTTTGTTAATTCTGTTAATTAAAAAAAAGTTTTTGTCAGCTAACAGTTAATTAATAATCAGTTAATAAAATTAACAGTTAACTAATAGAACTAATAAAATGTTACAAAGTAAGTGTTTTTTTTTTTCAATTTTAATAGTTGAATGGCTAAAAGTATCATAATATAAGATAATATGCTAAAACCTATAAATTCAGTAAGATGAGGGGTTAAAAGTGTCATAATATAAGGTAAGAGACTAAAACTTTCTCAAAATAGGTTTTTACCACTTATCTGGCCGTCTGGAAAGTAGTTAGTCCGTTTCTGAGTATGTTTGTCCGGCCTATATGCTGCTTGGCTTGTTCTCATCAGCGTCTAAGAGGCTATTTGGTGGAACTTCTAGGAGTTTCAGTTTTTTGATACTATTCATGTTTCATAAGTTTAAATTTTTTTTTTTAAAATTTATATTTTTAAACATTTTTTTAACTTTAAAAAGATTTCAAACAGTAAAAGATCAAAAGTTTCAAATCTAAACTTTTTACAAACCCATTTTTACTCACTTTTTATTCACTTTTTTCCATCTTTAAAAGCAACTTTTGTAATTGCACCAAACCAGAAATCCTTCTTTAATCTGCATCTTCACTTCGGATGAACCTGCAAAGCTCCGAGGTGGGTCTTCAGGGTAGACACTCCGATACTTAAGTCAGCAATAATCGGATCTACCTTTTTGGGATAATTAAAGAGGAGCTTTAGGTCGGTTTCAATTACCTTTCTGAGATGGCCCCTGGAGGGTACTTATAGGTCTTTGTGAGGTATCCACGTGGCTTGCTTAGCAAGATAATCGGAATGTGACGTGTCCCTAAGGAGGTAAATTCGAGACCGACAGTAAATTCAAGAAATTGTGTGATAGATCAGGTGCGGACATGTCCACTGTATTTACTATGTAGCCATTTGACCAGAAATGCTGGAATTAATCTCACTTCGGCTATTAAGGAATTGTTACAATACGTCCGAGATTAAGGAATTGTTACAATACGTCCGAGATTAAGGATCTCGGACCTATCCTTACAACTTTTAAATTTTTTCTTTAATAAAAATTTAAACTTATCACTCATAAACAATAAAAATAAAAAAAAAAAACAAAAAAACAAAAACAAAAACAAAAACTCAAACAAGTTCCACCAAACAAGCCCTAAAGCCTAAAAAAAAATAAAAAATAAAAAATAAAAAAATAAAGATAAAAAAAAGGGCTAGGCCCAGAATTTATCATTTAGGAGTTCAGATTTCGACTTCTCTTTGAATTGTTTAGATCCTTACCACTTGATCCAGTCAAAATCCCCAAAATTAGTCAAGTGTCAATATCGAGAGAAATTCTTTCTCAGTGGTATCCTTGTCTCTTTCTTTTTCTTTTTCTTTTTCTTTTTCTTTTTCTTTTTATTTACATTAGAAAATTAAGTATTTGATATTGAAAAGTTTTAAATTTTTACCTTTTAACTTTAAATTATGACATTTAAATTAATAACTATTAACTTAACTAAAATTTTATTCGTATTTTTATTTATTAATATAATAACACATCATTATACTAATATATCATTATATTAATAGTCAAGATTTCATTAACAAAATATCACAATATCATATCAATAGTATTCTCATTATATAGATGAATTTCTCCAAGATGAATCCCATTTCTTGTGGTAATTCCCTCAATTCTTGTGCTTCTACTCCTATTTAAAGGAATGCACAGTAAGATTGTCAATACTATACTAATATATATACATTAATTTTTTTTTTTTTTGACTAGTGGAAAATTGGGAGATGGGAAATAGTTACAATATTGCTATACTGGCAGCTTGAACCCTTGACAAAGAAACTAAAAGAGAAGGTGCACTTCCATTGCGGCTAAGGCCGCAAGTGCATATATACATTAATTTTGCTATCAAAAGAATATATATTAGATATTTAAATTTTTTATATAGTACTTAGAATTTACCAACATATAATTAAATATATAACTTTAAAATTATATTTAATGAGTAAAAAAAGGTAATGCCTAAAAAAATAAATTTCTAGAGATTAAAAACATGTTCATGATGGCTAAATTCGTAAAATGTCTTTAGATTTTTTTTTTTTAGAACATAAAGATAATATTAAACATAAAAATAAGATATTAACATGTTGTGCATTTATTTACATGATTTTATATATTCATAGGAGGTTTGAGTCATTCGACAAACAAGTATTCATATGAGTTTATATATATCCAACTTAGAAAAATTAAACATTTCTCATGAAAAAGAAGAAGAAGATATTTATTTATATTTACAGTGTATTTTTTTAAGTCAAAATAAAACTAAATAATCATTTTACACATTTATCCAAAAAAAAAAATCATCTCATGTACTCATGGATGTCTACTAAAAAACAAAGATATTTTTGTTAATAAAAACGTAAGTACATTTGACAAACGTTCTTCTAACAAATAAATAACTTCGGTAAGATGTCATTTGATTGACAGTATTTTAAAAAAAAAAAAAAAATTCAAGCATTAAAAAATAAAAATTGTACTAGCAAACATTTCAACATATTGGACAGTGCGTCAAAATTTGACCAAAACCGAATGAAAACCCTATACCTTTTCTGATTAAGCATAAAATTGGTACAAAATGAAATTGATGACCTTGACGCATGAAAAATTTATATACAAAAGCATCATGTTGTAGAATGAATCTTTGAATGGTAAAACAGGAATGTTTAGATTTAAGACAACTTTCTAATAACAAGGGATCCTATAAGTCTAATTTAGAGTTTAAATCTTGAATTAACACTAAAATATTAAGTTGATGTAAGGAATGCACTGTCTAAGATTGTCTAAATATTTGTTGCAATGTTCTGGTCTGGGATATGATTCTGCGCTTGATGACTACAAAATTGTGTTGATTTCAGAGTTTTCTGACTCCAGAAGGGATCATGTTTCTTTTCAAGTTTGGGTTTTTGGTTTGAAGTCAAATTCTTGGCAAAAGAATCAAGATGCTCCACTGGTAACGGATGATCGTATCTCATTTGAGGGTGTATTTACAAATGGTGCTCTGCATTGGGAATGTGATGGTTATATACTTGGTTTTGATCTTGCAAATGAGGTATTCTTCAAACTACCAGGTAATTCCAGTCTGGCAAAATTGTTATCAACCATCTAGGTGTGTTTTCCTGCGAGAAAACCATGATGCTGGTTCTTGGAGGTAACCTTTATACTTCTAGAATAACTGCTAAGGGTAGAGCTGTTGAGTTTTACATTTTTGTGAGTGATAATGGTGGACAAGGAGCTGGAGGTAGTTGGAAGAAAGCATTTGCACTAGAGGCAGAGGAGATTATTGGGAATGCTGAGGTTTGCTTTCCTTGGCCTCTGGCATGTTCAAAGGGGAGAGATAGCATTTTGCTTTATAAAAGCGATGGACTTATTTGGTATGACCTTGAAAATGAAGCAAGACAAAGGGTGGAGATTGGTGGCATGCCTTGGGTCCAGGGTCGGATGTACAGGTACCATGCTTGTTGCGCAAGTCTTGTTTCTCTTGGCGATGGCAGTGCATTTGATGGGGCAGCTCTGGAGGAAATCCTAATAGTTGGGCCCAAAAAAAAAGGGAAATGCTAATTGGTGAAGTTAGTGGAATAATCTAAAGCAGACTTCTTTATCAGGGTTCAAGTTTTCAGACTAGTAGCTGTTGCCATACATAAACTAGTAGTAAAATGGACATGTTTCTGGTTACAAAGAATGATAATTAATATTTCAATGGTATTCCATGTCAATCCCAGTTTTGTTTTGCCCTTTTCCTTGTAAATCCTAGTCTGTAGGCTTTCAAGTGGGATTTTGCAACGTTTGAAATGGAGTGTGGGAAATTCAAACTAGAAGCCTTGGTTTTCAAGAATTTCTAGTTGATGTAATTAATCCTTTTTATAATTTAGACATGAAGTTGCAGCTTCATCTTCCATGAGTATTTGTTTCTTATCTATGTGTTCATGTGATACTCTGCTTTAAATTGGCATGTTTGAAAAATTTGGCAATGCATGTTGTATATGCACATCAAATGCTTAGGAAATCTTGCATCTTTTAATGTAGTCCAATTATCTAAGTCTTGTTTGGTCCTAGATTCCGCCTACATAAGTGAGTCCCTCATTTACTTGATAAATATGGCTGCTTTAGTGTCTGTCGTGTCATTCAGTTACTTGAATGATGCATCATTTGTTAAATTTGTCATACATCTTGGTCCCAAGAACAATGAAATGGGGTTTCCCCACCATTGGAAATGCTGATTAGCTTCTCACTGAGCACACCGTATCTCAGAACCAGTCTTAATCTCACTGATCAGGCATGTGGACAAGGACAGAGCCAGAAATTGAAGTCAGGGTGCGAGGCAAAAAGTTAAATATTTTTTTTTGAGTTATTTATTAGTTTACCTTAATATAATTTAAATTAATGTTTATAACAGTCACTTATTTTATGCATGTATTACTTATTTATGCATGTAAAACTTTAAATTAATTAGATATATTTAGTTTTATTAAAAAAATTATGTATATAGTTATTTTTGAAAGATATATATTTTAAAATCCCTACATAAATAGTATAAAAATATAGTTTATTTTTTTAAATGGTTTTCTATATCAAAACAACTTTAAATTTGAAATGTCTGATTTATATAAATAAAATAAATTCAACTGTGATTTTCATAGTATATAAATTATACAAAAAAATTATATATAAGTAATGTAAAAACTTATATAAGTTATATTAATGTAATTAATTAGATATTGATTATTTTTTAATAGTTTTCTTACCTAAACCAAATTATCATATCTTAAAAACTAATCACAAAGGGAGAAATAATTCCTTTACCTAAGTCATAAATATTTCTTTTATATTTGAAATGGTCCCAATAATTCAAAACCTCAAAAAACAAAATTTTGTAAAAATAAAAATTAGTGTACCATATTTGAAAATTTTCAAAAGCTGAGGGGGGGCAGCTGCCCCCCCTTGTCCTACATTGGCTCCGTCCCTGCATGTGGAGGACTTGACCTCACCATTCTGTGTGCAGTGAAGCAAACGCAAGTGCCACAGCTGGAGGCAAAAATGTACAAGTGGTGATGAAAGACTAGGAGATGGAGGGTTGCCATTATTAGCACTTGCACAGAAGGTGAAAATACAGCTGCTCAGTTCATTTCTTATGTTACTGGCTTACTGCAAAGGATTGTAATTGAGGCGTTAATGGAGATTGCTTCAGCTCTTATTAGGGTTGCCAAATGTGGCAGCTGCTTTGTGGACAGAAAAAACATTCTTGTTTGCCATTTTTATTTATCTGTCAGTTGAATTTCTTATGTTACTGGAGGCTATTCTTACCTTCTCATGTGAGGGACTTATGTTGTACAGATCTTAACCCAAATTACTAACACTGGTTTTGTCACTGTAATAATAGTTCTGATAGCAGTCAATGTTTGTTTTTGTGGGGTGTTATTTTGTTTGATTCAATTGTGAACATGCTTAGGTCAATGAGGACATGCAATTGGGCTTTTTCCAAATCCAAATCATAAAATCAGATATCGGGTTGTTTGTTTGCAGTGCATTAGGCCAATTTGCATTAGGCAATTTTCAAGCATTCATTGTAATTTCATTTGCATACCTGGAAATTCCACTCTTTTTCTCCCTATTTAAGTAACAAAATCTAGCTACCTCATATTTAACCACTGTCTATTTAATGAGGAATTTAAAAATGGTTAATTTTGAGTTTTGGTGACATTCATCTTTTTTTCTCTCCCACTACCTTGTTTGGCAGTACATATCCTAGACAAATTAGGAAGTAAAAATAACAATATCTAAGAAAATTAATTTAGTTTTAAAGTCAATATCTAAAAAAATTAATTTCAAATTAATCACATGTGAAGTGTGTCCTTAGAATGTGTGTGGTTTAGAAGGAAAGTTTTTCCCAACTTTCTTCTTTTTAAAATTATTTATGTATTTTCACATTTAATATTATAACAAAAAAAAAGTAAAAATTACATTTTAAACTATATTTGTTGTGACAAAATTTTCAATTAATAAACCTTTCTTTCTACAACTTTTTTATTAATTTTCTGTATATCAATTTCATATCACTCATAAAAGTTCATAAAGAAACAAAATTTTTATTATAAAAACCTTACAATTTTCTGTAAAATACTCTTCCAAATACTTTTTCTTTCTTAGTAAAATTGGTTTTTCTAACCAAATAGCCATAAAAATCCCAGTTTTATTGGGCGCACCAAACACGGCCGCCAAAATGAAACGTTTTTCTTCTCACTGCATTCAGTAGCCTCACTCCCGTCCAAATAGGGGCAGTGGCTTGCCATATATGGTGGCAGAGAGAGGAAATCTAAGGAATTTAAATTAGGTTAGAACTTGAACATTGATTCAAGTAAGAACGAAAATTGAAACAAAATCTCTAGCTTATATATCCACAGGGGTTTTGCCTTTTTGGCAGAAAACACCAAAACCCCACTGTGGATTTTTCCGTAACTTATTTTGGGAGCTTCCCTCCTGTCTTGTTTCCAGCCGTTGCACCCATTTTCTCAGCATTGGTTAAATCTTTGTCTTTTTATGCTAAGTAGCAGCACTTGAGCTTTAGTTGAGTTTATCCGTTTGGCTTTTGAGTAATTATCTAAGAAAATAGATGTTTTTGAACAATTGTATCAGGTCGTGAGCCTGAAATTTTGATCCCTAAACCTTGTTTTTGAATAAGAACAATTGGGTTTTGATGTGTTTGATCAAAGTCTATTTTTTCAAACACCCATCTTTGTTTTTGTTGTGTTTAATGTTTTGTTAATGATGAATGGTTAGTGAGTTACAGACTTACAGCCATGAAACCTGGGGGGATAGATCAATGGAGGGAATTTTTTGGGGGTGCAAATTCAAGTATATTTGAGATTATAGATCATGCAATCTCAGTGGCTGCAAAAGATCACCCTGAGGAGTTCAAGCTTCAGAGGTGTCAAATTGTGGACAAACTTTACTCCTCTGAATTGAATCAGTGCCCTTGTCACAATCATAATGAGTTGCCTAATAGCAAGAAATCTAGTGAAGAATGTGATACAGGTGCTAATGGGAGTTTACAAGGAAATGGCAATGCTGGTGATGATTTGGGGGTAATTGGTGGTAGCAAGGATGGTGATGAGATTGACATTTGCCAAAATGATCCTCAAGAGATAAACACAAATCAGCCAATCAAAAACAGCTGCAGTGAAGCTGAGGCATTAACAGCAGACACTGATGAAGAGAAAGAGATCATTTGTGAGCTTGACAGGATAAGGGAAGTCGTTCAGAATGAAGATCAGGTTTCTCTGGATTATTGTTACATGGCAAATTCTTTAGGACATTATGATATTCCCTTTTTTTTTTCTTTGTTGTTGTTGTTCCTTTGATTGTGTTGTGCTTATTAATCTTGCTAACAGTCTGAGAGAGTGCTGCTGGATTCATTAAAGAGGCTTCAATTGATTGACCTCTCATTTGAGATTCTAAAGGTTAGAATAGAATTTACCTGTTGCTGCTGTTAGACTTTTATGAATATGGCCACAAAGTTGCCTAAGTACTTGAATTAAGAACCTTCCCTTTTACACTGCTTTCAGCGTTTTGCAGGAGTTCATTCTTTTGATTTTGTTCTATCAGAATTGAGATTTTGATTATCTTTTGGCGCGAACATACTATGTTCAAAAGTTCGTTACATACAAAAAGTTCGTTATATACAGTTTGTTAGACGTACTGTTATGGTCTGTAACAACTGGACCAACTAACATCTAGGGGTTATCTCAATTTATAGAGGATATCTATTTTGACAAAATTAATTAGTTACTGACTTTGTTTCATGGCTAAATTTCATTGCGTCAGATGACGTGTATAAATAGTTTTGGTAAGTTATCTTCAACGTTTTAGTTTGTTGATAGCTTAGCCTGCAAGATTATGTTTTATATATCCATATGAAGAAAAGCTTGAGTCATTAAGGAGATTTTCAGTTACTAATGTTTGCTCTTATTCATATTAGAAGCAATTTCTATCTCTGAATTTTTCTTGTGTTAACTCCATTTACTTGTAAATTATTACATAGCACACACAGCATTCCCTCAGATTTCATTTGAAAACAAATTTTCCTTTGGTATTCTTTACCTGTTAGTACTAGAGCTCTACAGTAGAGACTTCTCATTGTATTTTTCTTCTTCAGAAAACAGAAATAGGAAAACCAGTTAATTTGCTTCGCAAGCACAATTCAAGTCAAATCAGGCAGCTTGCTCGGAGCCTCATCCTGTAAGATTATTTTCCCCTCTTGCAATTCAATATTGTTCATGTCAGCTGTTTCTGTCAGAAAAAACTTACTATGACATTAATGCTGTTTATAGTGTTCTTATTTATTTTTTCTATTTTAGGTCACATTTATTTTTTTTACCTTGTTGTCTTCTTATTGCATCTTCTGAAATATTTTATGTACTGAGCTACTTGAGGATTGAAATTCTTTAAACCAAACCATATTGTGCCTTTTGTTGCTTAGAAACAATCACAGGCAGTCTGTTTTAGTAATCAAATTGTCCACAATCCATCTTTGTTTCCCTAGACTTCATTTAATGGGCCTTTTTGAAGTATCTACAATCTTTCTTTGAGGATCAATTCAATGACTTCCATTTTCAGAACATTAGGAAAAGATTTTTAATGTTATACTATATCACGTGAATGCATTGAAAGATGATACAATCGTAAAGGCAACCAAAATCGAAATCCTCTTATTGTAGTTGTTTGTATGGGAAACATGAGGAAAGAATGTGATGGATGCGTTTATTACTTTTCCAAGTATATTTTTGCATTTTTAGTATGTCTACTTCTTTAACAACACATTCCTGAATCTGTACTTTTCAAGCCTTCTTTCATCTCTCAAGAAAAATGAACTCGTGAAGTTTACAGCTAACCTGAATGGATCATCCTTCTCAAGTTTATTTAACTCTTTGTTCCATGTTGCAGAGCTTGGAGGATCAAGGTGGACAAGTGGCTTGAGGCCAAAGAAACTATTGCTGGTAATTCTGTAACTGAACTAGGGGTCTGTTTGCACTGTGATTCTTCTTCTCCTTAGGACTTTTAAATTGAATTCTAGTGTTCTCTATTCTATGTTTCAGGTTCAGAAAAACATTCAGTGGATTTCAATCCTTCTGGCATTGATGAAGAAGGTGGACTTCCTCAGCCTGCATTAGATGGAGCAGCCTTTCTTACCCCTCAGTTTCCCATGCAGATTTCTCATTCTCAAGTATACATTTTTTTTCCTTCAACTATTCTTAATATAGGAACTTCAGGAATGGATTAGTGAGACTAACTTACCATTGATTCTGTTGTGTCAACTGGATTCTGTGAAGTCAATTGATGGCATGGATAACGAAAGAAGTGAGTCATTTAACTGAACCTGAATGCAGTAGCATCATTTTGGACTCTCCTCACTCTCTCTTGACATAAAGTTTCACTGTACAATCTTGTTCCAGATCTTCAAAACAACGTGAAAATTGAAGCAAATTGTGGGAAGGGAAAATCTCAATCCACTAGCCTTCCAATAGAGAAAAATATGTTAGTGATGGATGTCAAGCAGCAACCAGTTAAGCAAGAATCTGTCTTTAAGCCCATTGAAGCTAAACCTTCAGATATTAAGACTATGCCCTGGAATATAAAGAAGCAGAGTTCAGAGCCAGGGATCAGTCATGGAATTGACTTGCAAAGAACCAATAATACCACCCTGATGAAGAAGGAATGGCTATTAAAGAATCAACAGGTTGTTCTCCTCTTTTATCCCAATTCATCCTCTTTGTTTGTCATAACATGTAACTTGTTCTGAATTTTATCTTCTATCTGATGTATGCAACTTGTTCTCCTTTTAGGAAACCAGAGAAACATGGAAAAGAGCAGATGCTGAAAATGGTTTGCTTATCTTCAAATTCTTCATATCCTAGTTGACCTTCTTTAGAACTTGTTTCTTGATTTACAAGTAATTGTGAGGTTTGCTCTCCAATCTAAACAGGTAGGAAACAACAAGACTCTAACATGAAATTGACCACACCGGTAAATACCATCATCTCAAAGGCTGAGTCATACAAGAATTCAGATTCTGTTAGGGCACCAGCAGATCATCAGGCTGTAAGTATCACAAATGCAACTATAGTCTACCTTCTGATTTGAGAGTTTTGATATTTATCTGTTCCCTTAATCAGCTTCAGCAGAAATTTAAGCCTCAAGAAAAAAACACCATTCGAGAAAAACTCGAAGTAGCAAAAAGAAAACTCGAGCAAGATCATCAACAACTTGAGAAAGGTATGTAGTCTTCTCCTTTGTACAATTTAAATTATTCCATGGCAATTGTTTTTTTTCCATTCTGATCTTAAAGAATTTCTTTAACCATGAACCTTTTCTTTCTTCTTAACAGCTAAAAATCAAAGGACAATACAGATGACAGATGTGAAGGATCTTCCTAGGCCAGCGGTTGGTCCAAAAAACCTAAATATGAATCAGAAATATCAAAAATGGCATCAAGAAAATCACAGGAACTAGCAAAGAATGGGTACTGGATCGGGTTTTTAAGTCAGTAAACTGGAGGTATTGTAGCTTCTTATGTTCATGTATCAGTGTTGATTATGGACTTCCCTCAAGATGAGAGAATATATAGCCTAATAAGCAAATTGAACTCATGGATGCATAGATATGAAATGCCTGGTAAGGACTGGACCAGGATCTCAGTAAGTTGTATAAGTCATCTTTTGAACTAAATTCAAGCAATTCCATTACAGAAAAATTTTTGCCAGTTGACAACAAAATACCGGTCTGGCCAATCTTAGTTTTGTGGTTGTCCAAATTGACATTTTTTTTTTTTTTGTTTGGATTATATAATATATTTTCATCTATTTCTTTTATCAAACATATTCTAAACCCGCCCCTATGTATTTTTGAAAATACCCGGTCAGACCAGCAGGCTGTTTTATAGGATAGATGCATGCATTGAATTCTTCTATTCAACCTATAAAGAATTTTGGTAAAATAAATGGAATAATGGATGGTATTCAAACTAAGTTGGTTCCTATTGATGCATCCTGTTTCTTTGATTCAACAATAATAATATTAATTATTATAATACCACATAAAATTATAAACTTAAAATTATGATATATTATTAAATAAATTAATACATATAATATCATAAATAGATATATAAATGAAAATAATCATTTATAAAAAAAAATCAATCATATAATGATATATTATAATTATAAGTTTTAATACTACGTAATATTATAATTATATTATTTTTGTTAATTCAATAACTTTTGAGTAGGGAATAAGCAATGTGAATTTGGACTTTCAAATATTAATTCATAATGTTTAAGTTTCATGCACTAGGAACTTAAATTATCATAAATAATGTTTGTATTTCTTAGATAGAATCAAAATGGCTTGGTTGACTTGACACAAAAAAATTAAAAAAATGGTTTAGTTCACTTGAAATTGTTGACAAAGTAGGACTTGGAGTTTTATATCATCTCTTACTATTCTTTGGGGACAATTTTGAAACCTAATACTAAATCAAACAAAGCCAAAGTTTGAAGGACTAAAAATAAATATATAAATAAATAAACAAACAAGCGAAGTTTGAAATAAATTATCTAACCTCTCCATGTGAATATCATCAACATGCACTCCCTCTAAAAGTCAACCGAAACATGGGGTGCTTCAGTAACAACCACAATTAAAAGTTGTGTCTTGTCAATGAACCTCTTGACAAAAATGTTAGAATGTCATCATCACTCCTTCCGCTTTCCTGATGAAATACAGAACTTATCAAACTTCACTAGCTGTACCTACGGTTTTGTCCTCAGCCAAGCTCAGCTCGACACCACACTTCCAATTTGTTTACCAATAATAGAATTATCTTCTAGCAAAAGCTGGTGCAATCCACAAATAGTCCTTCAACAGTCAACTTATTTTTTGTGATCCGGATGAAGTGGTGTGAGCTATGTTAATTCTAAAAAGATTGTAGTACAATTAGGAAAAAAATTCTTTTGCATTTGTTAACTATTTAGATAGGCAAACTCTTCTTAAAAAAAAATAAAAAATTTTAAATTTAAATCATATAATATATAAATAAATTAATTTAAAAAAATATCTTGTTATAAAATTTATAATCTAAAAAATTGCTCTCGCAATTCCCTTAACCACTCATTAACCACTCATTCCACAATTATATCACATAATTCGAAGTTAAAACCATTTTCTTCGGAAAGAGATTATTGTTGTCACTAAAGTTATTGGACCTTTTTCAAGAAACATCTCAATTTTATGTTAGAGAAACAATCTGCAAAGCGTATGGCTGTCTGTCCATGTGGTATGGTGTCATTTGGATCGTTATCTCTGTAAGCTTTGAATCAGCCAATCAAGAGCTTAAAAGAATAGTGAAAGTACAAACATCATAATTTTATAATTTATATTATAAATTTAATTACATTATAACTATAAATTTTTTTGTTAATTTTTAATAAAATTAATTTGATCTCTTATTTGGGTTGGTTTGCACACATTTCAAGACTAACCATTCCCTAATTCAATGAAAGATAATTTTATAATTTATATTATAGGATATATTTAAAATTATGATGGAGAATTATACTTAAAAATAAAATAATAAAATAATAAAAGTGAA